ATCAAATACAGAGCTAGGATGGAGTGAGACAGTGTTGTTTTCAAATATATAAACATTTCAAACATGAATATTGAGAAAATGTTTGAGATTCTACGCAATATATAAATTGATGTTATGTATTACCGACATTATTTAGATCGTATATTCATTATACATCGACTGTATAAGGTGCTACACCACAGATTTACGCGCACCGTCACGGACCTTGTTTACATGTCTAGCACTGTAGCACAACGCCAACGGCGCAAACTCATGTTCAGTGCAACAAGAACTCTATCAGATCTTGCGAGAATCTATCTGTATCAAAGCTTGTCAAAACTGCTATAAACACTGCTATAACTGTCAAAATATTGAAATCTAAAGTGACATTATTGAATACATGCGAACATTGGGAATAAATCAAAGGTCAATGAGACTTGTTATTGTGAAACATGTCACACCTAGGTTAAAATGCGGAAGCGGATCCATGGAACGGATATGGGAATAAAATGCGAAACGGATGAGGATAAAATGTGCCTCTTTTTTACGCTCCGTTTTAGAAGATGCAAAATTTGGTTGTTGGTGAACAGGGTCTTAGCTAGGATTTTAGATCTTGGGCGTGTTTCTAATGACCAGGGCGTGCACATGTCAATTACTTTGAATAGCAAAATAATGGCTCTAGTTATGCTCGCCAACAACAATGCCTGTGGTTGTTCTATGCTTTGCAGCCAAATACAAGGCGAGCATACGCTCATATTGCGCACTGACAATTAAGTTATTTCAACAAAATTAAAACCATTTGAACACCATACAGTTCCCATTATCCATCAAAACATTAAAACATCACGGATCACTTTTGCCAATTCAACAACAACAGTACCCTGGATTCCAGAGCCTTCGACAGTAAATAATAAATTGAAGTGTCGCGAAGGCTCTGGTTCAACGGGGCGATTCTTTGATTAAGCCGCGCCAATCACAAAACAGAATTAGTGGTTTTAGTACAGAATCTGTACTAAAACCACTAATTCTGGTTTGTGATTGGCGCGGCTTAATCAAAGAATCGCCCCGTTGAACCAGAGCCTTCGCGACACTTCAATTTATTATTTACTGTCGAAGGCTCTGGAATCCAGGGTACAACAACAGTAGATTCTACAAATTTTCTTGACGTAAATAGGAAGAAATTCTGTCTGTTGTAAGTATAGCACCACCTTATTTTATGAACCTATATACACAGCCTTATATAAATAGTGAAGCCGCGTTCATTTTATCTAGCCGTGTTTTTGCACTTCTCGCCGCGATAACGCGGCCAACACGGCCCTCTAGCTAAGACCCTGTTGGTGAAACAATTTAAATTTCGAGGTGTAGCATCACAATAAATAAATAAATAAATCATATCAGTTCCACGAGGCACGACGTTTCTGATGTGTTTAATAGGCTTGTTTCAAACGTCACTTTACTCATGTGCCGAACGCATTAAAAACAATAGATAATGAGTTGAAATGTCTATGGTACTACTGTTTATTTCGCAGTATAAGCCATCAGCTTTACAGCTAGAAAGTCGTCATGCCCAAATAAGACCCCTTGCAATTCAACATTTAAAACGAGTTACGAAGGGAGTGACAAGGAATTGTATATATATACACCTTAAAAAAGTTGTTTTAATTCACATTTTTGAATAACGTGCCTACTCTAACCTATGCCTGCTCTAGCCCATTTTTGAATAACGTGCCTACTCTAGCCTATGCCTGCTCTAGCCTATGCCTGCACCTACTGGTCTAGGTTGTGGGCTACCCTATATAATTCTTGCAGTGTATTTTTCAATTTGAAACTTTACACTATCCTTGGATCCCTAGTTTACCATTCTGCAATGCTTCCTCAAATTGGTGATCAAATTGTCATTTTTGGCTAAAATACGGTAAATTTGGGAAGTTTTGCCCCTTCTTAAGGTTATATTGGAGCTTAGAATTCAATGCTCAAATCGCAGGAAATGGCATTTCCGGGGGCATTGGAATGCCCCCAGACCCCCCTAGAATGCCTCGCGCCTCGAAGCATGACCAACAATTTATGGCTGGCTTCGCCACTGATTTTTACGTATTGATCCCTTTCATAAAACAATAACAAAAGCCTGACACACACTCTTTAAAGTACATAAACACTATTTAGAAGTCTGATCGCCATCAATACATGCAATTAAAATCAACCTAGAGCGAGTTCAAAGACGTTCTACAAGGTGGATCCTTCAATTGAAAAAAGGTGAAATGGACCACAAAGGTCGACTACGGGCCCTAAATCGTTTACTTTAGCATCAACCTCGTACCCAGGGTAGTTGCTCTTGGGGAGCGAAATACCCTGGTATGGCCTGATCACGTGACCCGCGGAATGTGCGTAAAATGGCATATTGTTTACTAGGGTGGGGGAAGTGAGTATACATTGTCACTCCTAGTAATTATATCACGCTTTTAAATTTTAATTACTAGGAGTGACAATATATACTCACGCCCCCGACCCTAGTAAACAATACGCCATTTTACGCAAAATCCGCGGGTCACGTGACCAGGTCATACCAGGGCATTTCGCTCCCGAAGAGCAAATACCCTCGTTGCGAGGGCACGAGGTTGCTTTAGCATATGACAGGGAGATTAAAGATTTGACTTTTTTCTTTAAAATTTTGCATGGCTTTTACGATTTGAATATTTTAAATTTTGTGTCAGTCATAGTCGTACCCGTAATTGAAATAACCCTTCTCTGATGCTTAAATGCAATGCTCCGTCATGTAAGTTCCAACTTTCAGTCTTCCTTCTTCAACAGAATTGTTCCGCCCTGGAATTGCGTTTGTAAGACAGCTACACCTAGAGATCTTCACAGTCTGACCTCGTTTAAAACATTTTTATCCAAGGTTTACTTACATTTATTTTACTTTTAATGTTAACACGATCTGTACTTGGTCATTGTATATTGTAGATGTTCTTGTCATAGGGGTAGTTAATTTCATATGTAGACATATACCAGCTGCTTGATTGTATGATGCATCGTTTTAAGATTTCGGCTCACCCACCTTTTAACTTATACACCATGTATTCACTGTTGTATAGTAGATTTTCAATACAGACCATACTGTTGACGGTATTTCCTCAGGATAAGGTATTTCAGACAGCAACAACCTCCCCCCCCCGGTCGACAACTTTTTAGGGAAAATTTTTTCCGTACGAGTACGTTGTAATTGCTTTCCAGCGATTTCACCTCAATTTTTCATACCAAATTTCGGTACTTTGCCCAAAAAAACAAATATCTTGCCCTTTGCGTGGAAATATTTCACCCAAACAAATGACTGGGGCCCAACAAAAAATTTCTAGGGGCCCCCAGAACCTGGGGGCCCGGGGCAATTTGCCCCCCCCCCCCAATCTGGCGGCCCTGATTGTAATAGTTGTTTATTTATGCAGATGCATGGTTGTATACATATTGGGTTAACCAGTTGGTATGTTTGCATAAATTGGAGTATCCTCTATATGTACTTGTGTATTACTATCTTTTTATATCTAATAATTGAAACGGGAGAGTGCCTCGCATGGGTCTTAGAGTCCCGTTCGCACTCTTGCCGCTTGAACATTGTTCAACGAGTTGTTAAAGCAAAAAAACAAACAACAAAACAATAAAAACGAAAACAACATAAACAAACATCGCTTTGATATAAAAATGCGAATGTTTCATTCACTATCCTACCTTGACTGTTCCTGAAGGTCTTCGTTCGTTTTCTTAAGTAGAACAATTTCCACGTCTCGATCAGCTTGTGTTTTCATTATAGCTTCATGAAGGCAATCCTTTTCCGCAAGTATTTTGCTTATCGTTTTCTTGCTTTCGTCACCAAGAGAAATAAAGTCAGACTGCAGACGTTCATATTTACAAATAACTTCAGTTAATTTACTTTCAGAAAGAGCCAAAGACGATTCAAGATTTGTGTTCGTTTTTACTTCTTTGTTTAAACTAATCTGTAACTGTTCCATACTTCGTTTTAGCTCACAATTTTGAAGCTGAACATGGTCTACCGAGGTTTGCAAAGCTGCCTCTCTGTCTCGGAAACATTGCTTCAACTCTGCCTCCCTTGCGATCTGTCGAAGTACATCTTGGTCATTTTTCAAACAAAGTTTGTCTCTTGAAGCTTTTGAGTCAGCTAATAAGAAAAAACCCAATATGATTGTGTAATCAAAAACACGATCGTCTTTATACGAGACGAATATTTGTATTCTTATAAAATACTGCAGTATTATATGCTTCATCTTAAAAACGAATACAAATCTCCATTAGCTTCACAGTGTTAACAACAATAAAAGAAATACAGTCATTCTTTAGAAATATAGTATGATTAATAAACTTATATTTATCTTGTCCGAAACCAGGTATGTGTTGTTTTCGCAACGTTTCAGGATTGAGTTTTCCCATTTCTCGAATACTCAATTGAAGTTAAAACGTCGTGAAGTTTTGTTGGAGACAACGCATGCCTTTCACGGTTATGATTATGTTCGATTGTAATTTCACCTCGGTCGTGTGTGAGAAGAGCGATTCCAGTTTGTAATATCTACCAAACCCGCAGGGTTTCCTCCAGACACTTCGCGGGATATGGGCGGAGCGAGAGATTAGGTTCCCACCATATGACGACCTTTTGTAGCCGTAGTTCTTTAAACATTTTGCTTTAAATTTATATATATAGTAAAGTGCCCCTAACCAAATGTTTTTGAGCTATCAAATTTTGGCATGATTTCCAGTAAACAAGAATGTAATTTGCGAGTCAGTAAGCGGATAAAGCTGAACATATAGTCAAGCTTTTGAACTTTTCGAAGGTTTGAAGACGGTCGAGTGTAAAATTTGACGAGTACCTCGCATGACGTCACGAAATTTATTCGTTCCAGACTCCTCGTAGCCACGGAAGTACTACCTCTTCCGCAGGCCCTCGTTGCGTCATGGGAAGGTCACGATTTCGAGAGGGCCTGCGGAATCTTGTAAAATGAATAAATAGTGAAAAACGAAAGGAATATTAGGGGCTGTTTATATGAGGCGAGCCAGCTCGGGTACCCGAGCTAGCTCGCTTTAGGCGGGATCCCATCTTTGTTAATATTTCCTACTAAATTTCATGTTGCGTTTATATGAGAACCGAGCTGGCCCGCCTAACCGAGGTCCCGCTTCGTGTGACCCGAGACCTCGGGTAAACGAGCTGGGTAGTTTTCCATATAAACACAACAGGGAGGGCTAGCCCTCCTAGTAGGGCTGGAAATTTAGCAAATACGCATGCGCAATTAATTAGAATAATTCAGAATGCACAAACAACTCCCATATAAGGAACCAACTTCCATATATGGAGTTGTTTACGCAAAAAAAAATTAGAACACACGAAGAGCCAGCCCTTGATGTAAGTTTCGTGTAAACGCGTGGTGAAATTCATCTCGGGGATGCGAGCCAGCTCGGGTACCTGGGCTGGCTCGCTTCCATATAAACAGTCCCTTAGAAACGAAACATTAAAAAAAATTACGTAAACATTTATTACTTTTTTTCATTTTCGTTGGGCCATTTTAATTTATAAGTTTCACGCCGCTTATCTATATCCTGTTTATATTCAAGACTATGTATAAATTTATTTGCTGACGTGACGCCGGCGCCATTTTTTTTACAAGATTCCGCAGACCTTGCCAGATTGTGCGTGACCTTCCCATGACGCAACAAGTTACAAGGGCCTACGGAGGAGGCAGACGGAAGTGGTCCATCAAAAAGTGATATTTACCAACTTAAAGCTGTCATAAAATGGGGAGAATTTGCCGAAATTCATTTTTGTTTTCGCAGAAATACTAGAAATCATGCCAACATAGATAAGAACAAATTTTGGGGTTAGGGCACTTTAAATTATAGCCTATACCAATGCTTTGTTACACCACAGTTAGGTTACACAGTCAGCTATCATTCAAAAGTTTTGACATTGTACTGCATTTAATAATATTTAATAAAACAATACCTAGAGCTTTCTTTAGTTTCTCGATTTCCTGTACACAAAGGTTTTGTTGTTCACACAGTTGTTTTTTCGTCGTTTCTTCAGCTGTAGAAGCATCCTGAAGTTTACTTCTCAATTGGTCACAAGTTTTGCGTGAATCATCCAACAACGATCGGACACACTGAAGTTCCTCTTTGGTATTATTCTTCACTTCATTCAAACATTTTTCAAAACGAAGTTTTTCCTGAGAAAAAAGTTAATTACATCATTTAATTTTTCATTTTTTCGTAACATATTGTACTGCCTGGTTGATTATATAATGACATTATACGTTGTAAACTCCGAGAATTTCAAGGAGAACTGTACGCACGAACTGTTTTAGCATGTCTAATATCAGAGAGAAAGAGTTCTCGTAACGGTAGACATGTACCCACCGACAGTTTCTCCGCAGCAATATCAGAGTAATCCCTTTCCAATTTAAGAAATTGTACTTTGTACTTCTCCAGTTCCTGGGTGGATCTTCTTAAACTAAATTAAGTAATACGAGTAGTTTAGATTTTCTTAAACTGGTGTTAAACATGGAGTGACGTCGGCGGATACGATGGTTGTATTTCATTCCAGGAATTGAAAAACAGTATAATGGGTACCATGGCCACTTTGCACGGGAGTAGGTAGTTTTCTTCAATCATACAATGTGGTGCCGTGATTTGTGTCTTAAAGTAACTACCTGACAAAAATTTAAAGCAATCAGACGTTTAAAACAAAGCCTCTTCTTAAGAGACGTAGATATTTTTCAGCAAGTTTAGACAGAAACCACGCGACTCTAAACTAACCTGTCACATTCACGGTTAACGTCATCCAGTTCTGTTTCAAAACGAGACAACGATTCTACTTCCTCTTCCAAAGCAGGAACTTTTGCCACTTCTTTTGACAAAGATTGAATTTTTAACTCTATATAATGACATTCAAGCACTTAATAAAATAGAAAGAACTTGGTTCAAAATCACGAGCGCTACGTATGGATGTAAAGCTGGAATTTGTTAAATAAAAACAGGTATTATACCTTGTTCTTCAATTTGTTTTCTTTTCTCTTCAATTTCGTGTTCAAGGTCGGACTGTGTACGTTGCAAGTTGTTGATTTTTATTTGAAACTGATTCAATCTCTTGTACAATTTAGAAATTGTCACCTAAAATTAATATTCAAACTCAACATTCTACACTGCAGTCCACGCAAAAACATCTAAGATTAAAAAAGAGATTCATAGAATACCTGACTCTGCCTGCTTTGCATCTGAGGAGAGGCCATCAGTGCTTTAATGGGAGAATTATAGAGAGATACTGGTGACATTATGATTGGCGATGAATGATATTCCTCACTCATTCCTTGAACGTCATGAAATGATTCTAAAACAATAGGCAGGATAGGTTACATTTTTACAAAGATTGTTTACAAATTGAAAGACACTAGTTCCAGAGGCTCTTCAAGAACGGCGAAACGAAAACACTATATCTGAACCTCGCATGTGATTGGCTATTTGTGAAAATATATCAGACCGGTTTGAAAAATAAACATATACAATGTCTAATTACAGCATATATGCCAATACAGAGTTATTTCACATTTGGCAGGCTGTAATTAACTATTGAGTATTGTACATGTTTATTTCCCAAACCGATATTATTACAAATAGCCAATCACATGCGAGATTCAGATTGTGAAACCTAATCAATTATGGAAAGGAGATTCACAATCAATATGACCATAGGCTCTTTCGCATTGTGTTCATTTTGCCTCGCCGTTCTTTAAAAGCGCTGTTACACTATGGCCTGTGCAACTTGCCTCGCAATTTTGTTGCGACACATCTTTGAAAAACTCACGAGTATATATATATTTTTTAAATTGCATGAGGAACCATACTGAAACTTTACAAATATAAACATAATATATAGTTCATATATGTTATATTTATTATAATATACATACAATAACGTTTACCTATATAAATTAACAATAAAAATTATAGCTAATGCGCGAGTTTCTCCTTTTGGAGGATGTGAAGGAGTGGATGAGTTATAAATGTTCCAGGTTATGAAATCTCATAACATCATCATTAAGTAATCTACTCCTTCAGATCCTTCAAAAGGAGAAATTCGCAACTAAAATCGCAGCAAAAATCGCCCGTGTAAACGGGCCTTAATAGAGCCTTTCGGAACAATTTTTGATACTGTCGAATCATCAACGTACTTCCAGAAGTCTGCTTGAGTCACTTTTAGCATTTCTAGATCAGTGCTTTTAGATCGTTTATCACTAAAATGAATAACCAAGATCCTAACTTAGTTCCTTGGGGGACACCAGATGGAATTGGGCCCCATTCTGAATAACAAGTTGATGACGCTATAAAGTATTTCTATAATTCTGCGTGCATCGTTAGAGAATGAATGCATCGTTTATAGAGAATGAATCGTTCGCTCTGACGCGCTTCCTCGAATCTTTTCTTGGCAGATTCAAACGTTTTATACGAGTAACTTTAAGCTTTCTCATGGCGTGAAATAATTCTGAACTTCGTATATGACATTGAGATACCAGACTGAACACCACTTGGTCATCTTGAGCTTCATCCAGCAAAACTTTCTGTCCGTCGTTTGACTTACATTATCAAAAGAAACATTCAGTGGATCTATCAAAAAGCGTAAATCATGTCCTGCCTCTCGCAAATATTCTGGGAGTGATTGATTGCAAATTATACTGGAATAATATTATCATCTACAGTCTACTCCAAAATTTGGTTTACATTACAAGTGTTACTAAATATAACATTATAGGCGGCGGAAATGCCAAGAACGTCAAATGTAGCTCTCTCCTCCGCAGAGCCTCTTAAAGTATTTACAAATAACTTACATGAAGTTTCCTGACTAAAAGTGAGCGCGCGCGGTGTGATGGGAAGATTGAAATGACCAAAGTAGCTGTTTGACCTTTTTTTAAACTTGAAATCGACGGAAATGTGAAAGAAATTGAAATGAATCTTCATAATCTGAGTGTCGAAGTTCAATAGAGTCATTTTTATAAAGAAATGTTGCAATTGAGAGGATATTTATAATCAGATAGCTCGTATCCATTGATATTCGTTTGCAATTTCTCAATATTTTTCGATGCAAATGGACAGAAGAAGATATTAATATTGAATTCACCCCAGGATACTCAAGTACGCCTGAAAATGAAAGTCGAAAACATGTTTTAACACCCCCAATGGTTGATCGAACTTCTCTACAAACGATTATATACGACGCCATATTGATTGCATTAACTCGCAGAGGCTTCCTTTATTTAGCTCTTCCCATCACTCCTTGCGCGCTCACTTTTCCCTCACTAGAAACTTCATGTAAGCCTCTGCGGAGGAGATAGTCAAAAGTAGTTCAACTTTCATGGCGTGACAGTAAGCACAAAACCACAGACACATACTGCGATATGTACAGCGCATATAATCAAACTGGCCAGCTTGTCTCGCGCGGAAAACACGATCGCAATGGAAAATATATAGTATTACCTGATTGACATAGAACATCAGCAACATTCACTGAATCTATCTTCCCACCATCCAAATCTTTTAAAACAGCTTCAATGATAATCTTAAGTTGAAACTGCAGATTCTCTTCCAAACTTGTGATTTTATCAATACATTCACTGACATTTTCTCCTTGAACTGCGCAACACAGCAGTAGACTTAGAACCTACAACAGAAACGATCTGGGAGGTTTTGTAAATATTCGATTTTTTCGTATTTTATTGAAGTTTCAAAACATAGAAAATATTTCACACAAGATTAGGACATGTACATGTATAATATACTCTACATGTACCTTTCCAATTTCCAGAACGTTATGAGAATCTGTGATTTTATTTTGATCAACGAAATCTGCTAGCGGTTGATGATAAAAATCTAAAGTGATTCAATATGACAATGTGAGTCGTAGTCTGTGTTCACCTGTATCTCGTTACAGCTGAATGACAGGACGTATTAGGGACCAGTCATTATTTATGGCGGGGGGGGGGGGCAGCACTGGCACCGAAGAGAAATGTTTTTCCTGGTAAAAATGTTACTGATCCAACCATTAAAAAGCCAAAATTTGTTTTTCCACAACCTCAAATATCAATTAAAAAATAAATACCCACCCCTGGCCAAAAACTTTACAAAAGGATACCATTCAGTTGTCACACATGTCCTTTACCACTTCTGTGACATGAGTTTGATAACGGCTTGTGCAATTTTCTGCAGTCTAAAGTTTCATGTTGTCTGCACATGTACTGTACTTTCTTTAGAGACACCATTAACTACCATTTGCCTCCTGACAGATCGGAAAATGATCAAGATAGTGACTCTTATTGATTTACATATTGCATTCACATGTGACTGTTGACATGCTTTTTAGTCTTCAATATTTGAGTCATGCTTTGGAAATGACAATAAATTTTTATTACAAAATCGTTGCGTTGTTTTGTTTTTCATTTAACCAACCTTTCACTTACTCAAAATTTGTTTTTCCCCAATTCTTTTCTCTTTGGTGCCCCCCCCATAAATAATGACCGTAATGTTAATTCCCAGGAAATGTTTAAGGTTGGCAGATAAATCATACTTACAGTAGATTGACATTCCTGGCAAAATATTGGGTGACTTAAATCACAGTCAATGGAAATGGCTTATTTATTTTTAAAGCACCTGTCAGTGTCGTAGACTCTTTTTGATTTGGGGGCTGAAAACGAAGGCCCGAGTCGAACGCAGGCGCGTGACTTTACAGGGGAAATTTTTAAATTTAAAATCTCTGAAATTCCATTTCCTGGACTTTAGGGAAGATTTGACAGAATACTGATGGACAGAAAACAGCGTTATAGCCTGCATGATTTTGAAGTCTGCATGATTTTGAAAAACGAATGGTTATTAGCAAGTTATTGGGGAGGCCGCAGACCCCCCCCCCCCGTTGCTACGGCCCTGCCTGTTCAATTAGTATGTTCACTCAAGCAATTTTTGAGCTTGCCCGGCGTGGAACCATTCGGAGTACCCCTACAGTAGGATTTGTTCCTCCCCTGCGGTCATGGAAATTTCGTACTTGCCAAATATGGAAGCACTCCATATTGAATCATGTAATCCCCGAGCCAACGCCGTTTCAGGCGTAAGCCCGGGGCGAGGGTACTAATTCCCCCCGGCTATTTACTTACACCCGGGGAAACGAAAGCATTAGCAAAGTCTAAACTTCATCAATGATCGCGGGCGTGGGTGACCAACGATGGGTGGTCATCCTCACTGATCTCAAAAATATGGCGGACTGTCATGAATAACGAACACTGATTGGTCAAATATAAAATTTGCATTATAACGACTGCATGACGACAGCAAAATAGCAAACATTTCTTGATTTGATGATTTCTTGCAAATATATTTTATTTTTGCAAGATTTTGTGAATTTCAAAAGCTTTTTAAGAAAAAAGGGCGAAAGAATTGGCTAAAAGAAGGGAGCAAAGGCGCCGACGTTAACGAAGGTAAGTTTGTTTTAAATATTAATGTATTGTTTGCTCTATAATTTATTTAAAAGCCGATCGTATAAACGTTGCGTATAATGAACGAAACAAGACAGCATATAATTTCAGTGTATACTTCATTGACTACCATTTCTTATTATATTATTTTTTTTAAAATAAAAGAGAAAGCAAAGTTATTTGCATGCGAGAATTTGAAATAATTTTAATTCAAACTCAAAGTTTATCGATAAGGCCAAGTCAGTTTAGTTTTATAAAGAACACTTTAAAACGTTTTGGGAAGCGTTTGTGGTTGAATTTTACCTTAAATTGAAGCTTATATTACGTATAATAACATACATAACAAAAATATGTATTATGTTTGGGAAATTGGTAATATTTTGTAATTAAAGTGAAATTTTTAGGGGATTTTTCATTTGTAAAAATATTCTTAAAAAATTATTGTGTTGCCATGACAACTACTTTAAATACTTCATGTTCGGAAGTACAATGGTTTTGTCGAGGGAGGGTTTCTGCATGCATGTATTTTCTAGTATAAAATGATGAGCTTACTTTCTAAATATCCCATCACTTTTGCAAGCCATTTGTCATCAAGTGAATTCAATCCTTCAACTTGGTAATCTTTATCACTAAAAATTAATATAATTGCAATAATTTGTTAAAATAGGTATAAAATGTACTGTACTATACTGTACTGAACTGCCCTGTCTGTAGTACAATATATAATAAATGTACAGACATTGTACATTATATAATAACGGAAAGAATTCAAGCGCTTTCATTGGTCAAGCGCCATGATCTATTAGAGGACAGACGTACAGATTTACGTCACAATTAAGGTAGCCAATAGCATTCCCTTATTTGTATAGATCATACGATACACGTGATATTTGTAAAATTCCGACTTTTTCAAATTTCTAAATGTTTGGGTGGATAAAAGGTAAGCTATTTACCTGTTTAATTCGGGGATTTTTTTTTTATTATATGAAAAAATAGATAAGATTTTGCCATTGTCTGTTCAGTTATAGATACACAGTATGACGTCATAATGTTGGAAGAACAAAAAAGTGACCCACTCGCCTCGTGGCCACTTTTTTGTTCTTCCCATATTATGACGTCATATTGTGTATCTATAACTGAACAGACAACGTCAAAATCTTATCAATTTGTTAAATAGAGTTGTACGGATGTAGATAGTGGTTAAAAGTCACAAGAAAAGTTGAAATGCAAGGATGGTACGGTCCACTTTCAATTGTTGCATTTGTCAAAAAACTACGCGTACACACGTATATAGCATATTCTACACCGTTTTCGACCGTCTGGCGTCTACACGAATATGTTAAAACGATATATACGAATGCGATAATAAACATACTAGAAGTTACTATCGCAAGGAAAGTGCTGCCGATTAACGCTATAAGGAATTGAATGAATAATTTCCATTAGCATGCATTTTGCAAGCATGTTATTTTCCCTAAACATAATTTTATATGACAGTGAATGAATATTGTACAAAAGTATGTTTTACTTTTTCATATAGAAATGTACAAAGAGTCTGATAAATTATGGGTTCAAACGATCATAAACATGTATAAAAGTATTATTCAGTATTGTTGATATTTCGGAGCTGCCAAGTTCAGATGATTAAAAACCTAAAGGTTATTAGCAGTCAGGCCAGTATAAACAGAACAGGCTGTGTCGGAGCGAAAGCGAACAGATGACAAACTAAAAGTACTTTAATTAGTCGGAAAACCGTACGGAAAACACATGGCCGGGTTGTATTTTGTTCATTTTTATTAAATATTTGTTTAAAAAGCTATTCAAAAGGTGAATTTTTAGTAAACCAGCATTTAAATGTTGGTCTCGACTCAATCTCGTACCCAGAGTATGCCCGTTCGCAGGTTAGGTGCTGGGCATGACTCTGGAGAAACGGAATGAAATTATCAATTTCATTGGCTGGCGTGAGATTAATGACACCGATACCGGAAATTTGTTTCAAGTGCGGGAATTACACGTGGAAATTCCCGAATACGACGTAAACAAAACAAAAGTGTCGAAATTGCATTTATTTGCAAGATTTCAAATACAAGTTAAATGTTACATTAATTCTGATTGAGGATTTATGCACGATCTGTACACTTTTGTATCGTATATTATGGCAAATACTTTTGTTGTTTATATATAAAATATCGATATGAAAGCTGACTGACATGGCTAAATTCCCGAAACAAATGTAACAAAAGATTTACTTTCATTCAATTGCGCTAGTGATCGCCAATGTTGGGGTTATGGCTTGTCGTTCTGGATCTGCGTTTGGACATAGCGGGCATATAATTTTTGTGTGGATATAAAGACTATTTTTGAGTATACCAGTTAAAGTAATTCTGTGAAGCAAGGATCTGTTGCAAATACATCAAAAGGCCATGTTGTAGTAGTGAAATATTCGATGAAAGTAGTAATTTTATAACAAATCTGCTGTTAATTTAAGCCCTCCATATCCTCTGAAATTGATTGTTAATTATGGAAGTATGTGCTATATAGTTTCTAGACTCCATGCCTGAAATAAATAGGCTGCTTGGGGCTTAACAGAAAATAAACAGGACAGCAGTGTAGGGTGCAAACCACTCTCCTATTTCTGAAAGCCTTTGGATGATAGTAAAAATAAGTTTCAGCCATGAAAGCATCGGTGGGGAATAAATTAAGCTATAAATTTCCAGAAATTTGAGGCAAAAATTTAAAGAACTGAGATTTACAGCACCAAAAGGTGTTCATATTGTGGCAACCTAAATTCAGCCTTCCCACCAAAAGTGTCTTTTGCTGCAGTAAAAGCATACAATTTGACGTGCTGAAATTATACATGCTAACAATATGGCTATGACGTTGTCATAGAGCAGCAGCAGGTCATCGCACATGCATCTTAAGACGCAAAATGTAATACATTTGGCATGCAACAGTATATAACATACAGTACATCTTTAATGGCAATAGTAGCTAGCGCTAGTTACCTCGACAGGCATACATCAGCACATGAAAGTTATGATTTTATATCTCCCAGGGACCATGCAGCAATGTCAGGGTATGTTGTTTAGCGGACGAATGCGAATCGTTAAAGAAAACTTGAAAGTCATGTATAGCGATTCAGAAATTAACACAGACCACATGCGAAGAATCGTATCACGCTTGCCGTACCACAATCAAGCGAAATGGAGAGACGTGGCTAGTTTTATAATGAAGAAAAGAAAATCGCCACCGAATTTTCAAGATCTAACGGAATTCCTTGGTGATCGGGCTCGTGCAGAAAACGACCCAACTTACGGACGTTCGAGAGATCCTACAAAGGACAGACGACCGAAACAGACGCGAGAAGAAAATAAGTCAAACTATGAACATGTTTCAAGTTTCGCGACTCAATTTGGTTCCAATCGTTACCCATCTAGCAAGGAATGTCCTGTTTGTAAGCAGAATCACAAGCTCGAGACGAGCAAGATTTTCCGGCTTGAGAAGCCTGTTGCAGAAAGAAGGAAACTCGTCCTAAGCCTTGTTTCCAATGTCTCTCGGGCAATCATTTTAAGAGGTTTTGAATGCCTATGGATTATTTTGCGGCTGAAATGGCTGCCTCGATCGATATCAAGAATTGCGGTTGCATGCGTTTATATTCCTCCATCTATAGATCAGGAGAACTTGAACAGGTTTTATGAGTACTTTTGTTATTGTTATGATGTGTTGAAATCAGAAAGCCCAAATAGGTCAATTATAGCTGCTGGTGATTTTAACCCTGCAAGTAATGGCTTCAGCACGAAAATCATTAATAGACAATGCCACTTGAAACAAGTCATCAAAAAACCTACTAGAAATTCGGCAATTCTTGACCTTATTTTGACGGACATTCATAAATTCTACCAAGCACCACTTGTGTTAGCCCCAATCGGTACCTCAGACCACTGTACACTTACATGGTCATCACAAGAACAAATGAAGCAGAAGCAAAAGTCATGAAACGGATAAATGTAAGACCGCTGAAATCCTCGTCACTAAAAGTCTTTGAGCAGTAGTATTTCAGTGAATATAACTGGTCACCCGTGTTGAATGCCTCTTGTATAAACGATAAAGTCAGCAAAGTTTTTAGAAATAACAACAGAAATGGTCGAAACATTCCTCCTTTTAAAGACAGTCAAAATCCAAGATGACGACAAACCTTTTATAAATGGAATTAAACAATTGATACAGAAACGAGATAAGGCATACCAGATGGTAGATAGATTGTTTAATAATTCACTTTTTGCATTACAAATACTGAATTGGTAAGCGATTACAATATAAAAAGACTGAATACAAATTATATTACATTTAAAAAATTACAACCTATGCTATGGCTTACTAAGAAGATTATAAATATTAAAACTAACACTAATTTGTTGAATTACGATTATTTATGTCTAAACAACTAGCGATGACATACGAATTCTTAAAACGTTCAGTATAGAATTTCGGAACATGTATCTTCTTGTTGTTACGTAATTGGTAATTTAATGAAGTATCTATTTTAGGGATTAAATTATGAAGTTTATGGTTCGGGTTATTTAAAATTTGATTAAAAAGTTTATTGCATGCAATTTGCCTTCTAGCGTACAATGACTCCATCCCAGCTTCCATCAATGCATCTTCGTAATGTAAGTTCGGATATACAATTCGAAGAACCCGTTTTTGTACTCGTTCAATTTCATCACTTAAGTATTTAGGTAAAGAGTAGTGGAAAACAGTGGATGCGTATTCCAGAATGGGGCGGATACATACGGTATAGAATTGTAATTCGTTTCAGCTGCACTAAAAGGTAAATCCTTTTGGAACTTTTTGTCACTATGTTATTGACATGACTATTCCACTTCAAGTTGTTCGCGATAGTAAGACCCAGTAATTTTGCTTCTTCCACCACTTGTAAAGGTTTACCATTAATTTTAATAGGTGGAAAGGGATTTCTATTTTTCGCAAAGTCTATCCGCAAACCGCCGATTACATAAACAGTTTCTTCACGAGTTGACCAAAGAATATCCTAAAGTAAAAGATGAATGGTTATCATTCGGAAGTCAAGATCTTTTACCACCGATTACGACTGAAAGTGTTGCAAAGACGTTGTCCAACATAAACGTCAATAAAGCACCTGGTCCTTTTGACCCAAATATGAAGGTGATAAAGACATTCGCTGAACACTTCGCCGTGCCATTAGCTGATATCTACAACCAGTCGTTTAGATGCAAAACGTTTCCTGAAATATGGAAAATTTCCAATATATGCAGTGTCCCGAAATCAAGCCCATGTTCGTCAGTAGAAGAACTAAAGCCAATTACATTGACTAGCACTTTTTCAAAACTTCATGAATCATATGCTGTTGAGTGGATCCTAAATGATACTAATGACAAAATTAGTGAATCTCAATTTGGTGGCCTTGCTGGAATGTCTGCTGTCCTTGCATTCATTTTCCAACTACACAAGTGGTATCTAGCGATGGAGAATAATCAGAAAATTGTTCGAATTACATTCCTTAATTTCCGAAAAGCCTCTGACTTAATTGACCACAACCGACTTTTGCAAAACTTTAATGACATTGGTATACGTCCAGGCTTGATTGGATGGTTTGCATCGTATTTACAAGGACGATCACAGGGCAGCAAATTAGGTCCAGTCGCTTTCATTATAAAAATCAATCAACTTCCATCAGTTACAAATTGTGAATCGGCCAAAACAACAAAGTTTATGGACGACACGACCTTCTCCGAAGTGATAGAAGTATCAGATCACACCTCTGGGACATCGATTGGAAAACTCAAGAAAATGTCAACAATGTAGTTCTGTTTACAAAGCACGAAAAAATGGAACTAAATGTGAAGAAATGCAAAGAAATGATTCTCGATCTCAGGAAGAATAAAACAACCATCCCACCAATTAATGTTGACGACCAACCTATTGCTCGGGTAAATTCATATAAATTACTAGGAATGTGGCTGGATGATGATATGAAGTGGGCCACAAATACTGAATTTATTATTAAAAAAGCAGCTAAACGGCTCCACTTCTTAAAGATCCTTAAGAATTATGGCGCGTGTAAAGATGATCTAAAGTCCTTTTATTGCGCTGTTATAAAGTCCACTCTCGAGTATGGAGCGCATGTGTGGCATGGAAACCTCACCCAAGACCAAACCAACAACATCGAAAGAATTCAAAAACGGGCGCTCAGGATTATCTGCCCTGGAAAGGACTACAATGAAGCCTTAATAGAAAGTAAACTGATACCACTAAAAGAAAGAAGAAAGCATCTGTGTATTGACCTTATTAGAAATATGGAACGGAACGTTTTAAGAGTAGTCCTTTGGTATATGCGATCGATAAATACAATGAAAGCATTAACTGAATGATTTGATATAGGTTTATAATTGTTTTAGCATACTAGTGTCTTAGATTTTACTATATACATACTATTAATATAATAGTTTTAGTACAATTGGTGCTTTAAATTTTATTATATACCTTACTATAATTATATATACTATTTACATAATTGTAATGAAAGTACTAACTCATATTGTCTTAATAATATATATAAGAGTTTTGTATATAATAATATATATAAGAGTTTTATAATCCTGTAAACACATAATAATTTAGCTCTATACTTTGCTATGGAAATGTGATTAATAAACCATTACATTACCATAAAAGTTAAAAATGCTCGACCAAAAAATACAAATGATAGCAATGACTCGTGGAGGACAATCACTACACAGCGCAACCAAATGTGACGCCGAAATCCAAACTTACACTTCCTGTCTAATTCCAAGTGGATATACAGAGGGCGACAGCGTACCCGTAGTCGCGGTTAAAGTTTACGGAAACGATGGTCGTGGAATCACAACGTATGCCCTGTTGGATCAAGCCAGTGAAGCATCATTCATTCACAGAAGTTTAGCCAAGAAGTTCAATCTTAAAGGTACGCAGCGTAATCTGTCAGTAAAGTAGTTGACGGGTTCGACCTTAATTCAAGCCGAGAAAGTTAATCTTATTTTGGAATCTGCGAATCGGAGCGCTTCGAAGTTACAAAGTCGTGAAACCATCATTACCGACAAATTGGACATTCAACTGAAGGTTGCTCCGAGAAACGAAGACGTTCAAGATTGGAAACATTTATCGGACATACATTTTCCTCAAGTCGAACTAGAAGAAATACTTATCCTTATCGGAGCTGATAACCCTGACGCCTTCGTAACAGAGGAGGTCAGACCAGGTGGTCACCAAGAACCATGGGGATTCAAATACACATCGGGATGGGCCCTGCTAGGACCTACAAGTATAGAATCCAATAACAATGTAGCAGTTCACCTTCTGCAAAATTCGAAGAATTATAACTGCGAAGAGTTGGGTCTGCAAAAGCAACTAAATCATTCGGTTCTTCCGAGAAGATGGTTTGAGCGTTATAACTAGCACGCAGAAGTCAATGTCGATTGAAGATGCACATGCATTAAAAGTAATGGAAGATCGTGCAACTGTGGTCCATGTCGAATGCAATTCAAACAATAGATAATGAAGTTTAATGAGGTTTATCATCTCATTATCTATTGTCTTAATTGCATTCGACGCGACCAAAATTCGACGTATAAAACAGGCCTAAGCGACTAAATTATTTGAAAAGACGCTTAGACAGCGATAAAGATTTGTACGAAAAGTATGATGAAAAGATAAAGGAACACCAAAGAAAAGGATATGTAAAAAAGCTAAGTCCTGAGGAAGCATCGGTTACAACTCCAAAAACTTGGTATCTACCTCATCACCCCGTCTTTCATCCCGCCAAGCCAAACAAAGTTCGTATAGTGTTCGACATCGCTGCCAAATCCCAAGGAACTTCGCTCAATGATAACCTTGTCCAGGGACCACATCTAACGAACGAAGTAGTCGACGTGCTGTTGAGATTTCGTACTGGGGAAGTACCTATCGTTGCTGACATACAGGAATTGTTCCACCAAGTGAGAACTTCACTACCTGACCGTGATGCCTTGCGATTCTTGTGGTACCCGATTGGGAAAGATGAGCCAGAGACTTATTGTATGAACGTACATATCTTTGGAGTGAAAGATTCACCGTCAATCGCAAATTTTTCCTTACGCAAAACCGCAAAAGATAATGCTGCTTTCTTCAGCGAAGATGTGGTAAAGTCAGTAGAGAAGGTAGACTTGCCACAAGTCGACCATGGGGGAGGGAGGGCGCGGGGAAGGGAACACGCGACCCGAGCGACGAAGTCGCGAGTGGTCGACTTGTGTCCCTTGCAGGAATTTAAATCACATTAAAAATTTTGGCGCGAATAATTTTGACATAAAAGGGGTGTGTACATTTCATACAATTACTTCACCGCGCCGTCAATTGGTCTACAAAAACATTCCCAAGAATTGATATTTCTTTGTCCTCGAATGAAACAGTTTGCACCGAGTGTGGAAACGAAATAACTGACCCAAGTATTAAAGCGCCGAAAGCTGTTTAATGTATCAACAAAAACAAGTGCATGTAAAAATTTATTGAATCTGTTATCTGGACAGTTGTTTGTCTAACAATGTGTGCCGTAATTGTGCCGACAAGAAAAGTAATTTATTAGACTTATTATAGAAAGTTGATTCAGTTCGCGAGCGATTTAATATTAGTAGTAGAAGTTTAATAATCGTGATAATTGAAAAGAATCAGACAACTGTAACCGCGAAGCAGAGAGGCGGCGATTGTGATCAACGAGAAGACGTCGCCAGAGTTCAAAATCCGGTAAAAATACGCGTTGTTTTCTCAACAAATGATTTTGTATTAATAATCAGTAATCGAGATCAAGAAACCCAAACTAAACCCGAAACTAGTGAGGAAATTTTAGAATCATTAGATGCATCTTCGGTACGTGACACTGATTAATAAAGTTTATTTCGACATCCTGTACTTTTAAATATAGCCTACTCAATGTAATGCTTGTTTGTATATTTTCACATGGTTTTTGTGTTCTACAAAATTGTAATTACATTGTTTACTCTATTTGCTTCAATAGTACACATTTGTTCAACAAGAAAGCCTGAGAATATAATATTGTAATACAATAATAACAATGTAAACCGCTTGCAGAAAAATTTTTTGGGATCACTTTAAGGCTTGGTTACCAAGCACTGAACTATATATGTTGATATGTGCAATGGACCACTGAACGTTACCTTTACTTTCTCAGTTTCTCTATTAAGTATATAGCTTATAAAGCAATAAAACGCAAACAGTAACACAATCTGATAAGTAACTGAATTTTATGATGGACACTAAAGTGCCTTATAATGGTTGGCTAATAACATATTGTGACATGAGTGAGGGGGTCTTCTTTATTACAGTTAAAATATTTCACTTTGTTTAAAATATTGCGGTAACTACTTGAATGTAGCTCTGCGTTCGGCAAAATATACATCATGATATTCAGCATCATGCTATCCTATTGTGCGATTGTTATATACATTCAAAAAATGATGAATCTGGGGCTGAAGCTGGTGCAAATTGCACAATTGTTCCCAAGTTGGATCTTGGTACTGATAGTACATTGACATTGTATAAAATTACGACAAATCAAAATCTTTTCTAAAACCTAATACAAATACTTGCCAAATGATATTATGAAACCGAGTTTCTGTCAAATAGAAAGCAATAAGTAATTATCCCAAAGAATTTTTAGGAGTATCGAAATGAAATTTCAATCTTTGTTCAAATTTGCTCGAAATTTGTTCGCCAGCGAATGTAGACAAAGCAAGATTCGGAAGAAGAACCACAAGAACGAACTTTAAATATCATTTCCAGGCTTAAAGATGAATAACAATGTTTACATAATACAATACTTTATTACGCGATACGTATTACGTAATGATAACAAATTATCCATTGTATTTATATAGCTCAGTGCTTGGTAACCAAGCCTTAAAGTGATCCCAAAAATTTTTTCTGCAAACCGCTTTGGCAAATCGGCAATGTAAACAATGACGTCACCGGTGGATTTTTCCACCGGTGATATTTGGCGCGCTGCAAGTGACAAAAGTCCTTTCCACAGAGGAAGCGAAGCGCGCCATAGAAGGGTCTGGAAAGGACTTTGGAAAGTCTATAGAGAAGGACTTGGCCTGAAAACAGACCTACGTTTCGCCCGCCCTAAAATTCGCGGGTCAACGGAAAGGGCAAAACGTAGGTCTGATCACCGTGGTCTGATGAAAATGTTGTCAAAATCGCCTTCCGCCCACTTTGCATTAATTAACGATGATGATTGACACATTTACAGTACATGTAAACACCCAAAAATACAATGAAAGTTGTCGATTCACTTTATTGAAAGTTTCTAAACAAAGTAAGAGTCGATAAGTACAGATGTTTGAATAAATATTAAAAATATACGTAACCCCATGCAGTATGTTGCTTTTTAAATGTACTCTTAACCCTTGTAAGCAAACAGTTACAGCTAGTATAAATAATACAACATTTTCAGCACATTCTATAAATGCAATAAAATCTGCCTACGCAAATTTGGCAATGGCCCGCCATGTCCCATTGTTGAATTGCATCCAAACTCTTACAATTTATACATTTTGAAACCGCCATACAATGCTAAAATCTATATAAAATATTTTGTACGTGCTATGTTATCGAAATGTACATCATAAACGCACTATTGCGCTGACACATATTTGTATCATTGTATCAGTTTACTGTGATTATCACAAAACGTAGATAGTGTAAAAATTATTGTATTATTGTTATTATTATTGTATTGTATATTACAACGGAAAGACACAACGCTGAAGTATTTGATACGCACTGCTCTACTCCCCTCTAGTTTTAATTTTAGACGGTAGCTACTGTTAGACTAGTTGCTGTTCAGCTTCACAAAATATTTAGAATATTACACTATATGCATATTATATACGTTGACAGTACCGTTGAAATATATTCTGATCTTTTCATGTTAGCGACCAACCAATCACAACCCATTTCCTTGTGAAGTAGCCAATCAGCTATTCCGATAACCTGCGATCAGGCCTATAAATAAATAAATAGGCCTGATACAAACCTTAACAAAAGTCCATGTTTTTACAACCGGTATTTCGGTTGTAAATGTGATTGGTTTATGAGACAAAAGATTTTTTAATCTGTCATTTGATTGGTTGGTGCTAATTAGATTATACTATTGTTGTTGATATATTTATAGTGATCACAACTATAATTAGATTGTTGTTGTCGTTGTGTGAAATTTAAATTTATCCTGCGACATTTTGATTGGATACTTTGCTGTGGGTGGAAAGCGATCGGATTAAGGATTGTGTCAGGCTATTATTTGTAAAATAAGCCTGATCTCAGGTTACTATTCCGACCACCAGGCGGTCGGATTCCACAGCGTTTTCATCAGACTTACGTTTCGCCCTTTCCGTCGACCCGCAAATTTTAGGGCGGGTGAAACGTAGGTCTGTTTTCAGGCTAAGAAAGACTATTCTATGTTGACGACCTACTCAGTCATTTCCAAGTGATCTCAAAGCAATGAAGTTTGCTAAAGATTTGATGGACCTTCTCTTGAAAGGTGGATTCCGTCTAACAAAATGGTGTAGCTCGAATAAGAAAGTTCGTGCATCAATTCCGGAGGCAGAGAGAGCTGGCCCTTCATTGAATCTTGATCTAGACCAGCTGCCAGTGAAAAGAGCATTGGGACTTCATTGGACGGTGGAAGACGATACATTCAAATTTAGCATTGTTAAGCTAGATAATCCTGAAACAAAGCGAGGAGTATTGGCCACCATTGCTAGCCTTTATGCTACACCGATAACGTTGGTAGTTAAAGCCCTATTGCAAGCGAAATTGGATTGGGACGAACAACTTCCGCCCAATGAGTTACGGAAGTGGAAAGAAGGCTTACCTGCGCTTGCACAAGTCACAATACCTCGTTGTTATACAGGCCACATTCAGTCTGTTATGTTGCCTGCAGATTGAAGATGGTCGACTGAAGCTTGCACTTAATAGTTCATTAGCAAAGCAAAGGCTCGATTCTACAGAACGAAAGTTACTCATGGATCCAGAATTGGCAGCGGCTTATCAGGGAGTCATTATTAATAACGAATATTTAGAGAAAGGATATATCAGACAAGTACCCTTGGATGAACCGAAGCCAGAATGTGAGTGGTTGTTGCCTCATTTTCCTGTTGTGCGACCGGAAAGAGCACAACAAAAGTTCGAATTGTTTTCGACGCATCGTTAACTTGCGAAGGGAAAAACCTGAACACAGAATCCCCACCTGGTTCCTCGACTTGCATGTGTCAAGCGTTAAGACCCTCGGAATTTCGTGGACTGCAACGGATGATCAGTTCTCGTTTCACTATTCTCCACCAGAGAAAGAATTTGTCTACACGAAGAGGTACATTCTTCGCTGTACCGCAACGATTTTTGATCCTTTAGGTTTTCTTGCTCCCTTCATTTTGTTGGCAAAGTTAATGATGCAACAAGTATGGGTACAAGGATTGAGTTGGGATGAGCATCTCCCCGAGGAAAATCGTCTAACTTGGAAACAAGGTTTGAAGAATTGACCAAGTTATCTCTCATTAAGATTCCCCCTTGTCTGAGAGAGAGCACAGAAATCAGACATATCGAGATTCGCCCTTTTTTTTGATGCTTTCGAAAAAGAGTATCCCGCGGTTGTCTATACTCGTCATGAATATGAGGACGGTGGCGTATCATTTCGACTCGTAGCAGCAAAAACAGTCAGCACCCTTGAAAACCATAAGCATCCCTCGACTTGAATTGATGGTAGCGGTTATAGGCCTTCGTTCAAGTTTGTAAGGCCTTAGAATCTCGACAGCACGACGGTTGGTTTTTGGATCCGTGGACAAAGTCGAAAGTACAAGACTTTCGTGGTACATCGGGTCGGTGAGAATCACGAAGAAACCAACCTGGTACAATGGAAATACGTCCCGACATCGTCCAACCCAGCAGATCACGGTACACCTGGACTCACAGTAACTGAGTTGAAAGAGAATGAACTTTGGTGGAACGGACCAGAGTTTCCAAAAGAACCACGTGACAAGTGGCCTGGGGCCGGTTGTATAAAAAATTTAACTATGGTTAAGTGCAAACGTCATCAAATAAGAAGCGCCTATTTGAGAGTTAATCACTATTTAACTACAAAATAGTGATTAAAAAAGTGATTGAGAGTTTTATACAACCGGCCCTTGAAGAGAAATTTGCAGAACAGAAGAACGCCCAAGTTTTCCCAGAGATGAAGCCACAATGCAAGGGTGACGCGGTTTGTTTTAGTGCGACTCAGCAACACGAAAGTGAAGAATGCCGTCTGAAACCTTCAAGATTTTGAAAGTGGTATCGTCTTTCCTTGACAAAGAGATTACAATACAATACAATACAATACAATACAATACAATACAATACAATACAATACAATTTTATTTAGCCACGGTAAAACCTTCAGTATACACTATTTTACAAAAAGAAAAACATTAACTGGTTTACAAGATTGCCGTGTGGGAGTCTGCGTCACTGTATATATCCCTAAAATTATTATAATAGTCATTTGTAGCCTTCTTAAATTGGGAAAGTAGTGGAATCTTGCGTATATCCTGCGGTAAACTATTCCACAATCGCGCCCCACTATAACTCAGGCTTCGTTTTAGGAAATTAGTGCGCGGCTTGGGTAAGTTTAATTTGAAATTATACCTTGTGCCACGAAGAGAGAAACGTTTTTGCAAGTAAGAAGGCGTATGCCCTTTCAGAATCTTGAACATCAAATTAGTTTTATGTTTCTTGCGTCTCAAAGAGAGCTTATCCAACTGCAAACTATCCAAAAGCGTTAGCATTGTCGTTGGCGTTAGGATTGTCGTTGGTGCGGGTTGGAGCTTGGGTCCATAGATTCATTGCGAACTGTCGAAAGTAGAAGGAACGAGCCAGTGGAGAGTTGACCGCAGAAGAGTTACAAGGTGTAGAAGAGATTATTATTCGCGAAGCACAAATGGAAGTTTATTGTCAAGAGTCTCAAGAGATTACGGCACTGAAAGAGAAGAAGAATCTTCCTAAAAGAAGCAACATTTTGAATTTAACGCCGATCTGGAAAGACGGTCTTCTGCGTTCGAATACGAGGCTTCGACACTTGGAGGATTTGAGCGAAGAGATAAAATATCCGATCATTTTACCCAAGAGACATCCAGTGACAAAACTCATGATCATCGTGAAGTATCACCACGAAAGTGAAGGGCATCGAATGGGCGTAAACTTCACGTTGAACAGACGAGGGAAGACGCGAACGAAGCGGTATTTGTGTCTATTTCTTTGCTTGCAGACCCATTGTTGCCACTTAGAAATGGCATGGTCGTTGGAAACAGACGGATTTTTGCAAGCGTTCACCAGAATGGTAGCGAGATGCGGTTGGCCTCGAACTACGCTTAGTGACAATGGTACCAACTTTGTAGGAGGTCAAAATGAGATTTGTAAACTTGTTGCTGAAATCGACAAAGAGAAGATTAAAGGGGTAGAGTGGCGTTGGAATCCACCATTATCACCGCATTTTGGAGGCGTGTTCGAACGGATGATTCAATCAGCCAAGAGAGCGATCCAAGTAATTTTAACTAACACAGACGTAAGTGACGAAGAACTGGAAACCGTCATTGTTGGAGTAGAGAGTAGACAGATTTAGATCGAGGACGTCGACGTGAAGAGGACGTCAAATTGTCGCGCAAAGCCTGGGTCTAGGACGTCGTCCTGTATAATTTAAAAACAGACTTAGATGAATTTTTACGACGCCATGAAGGCTTGTAGAATTTTCTTTTGGAAAAATACATCTTTGCGTTGAAATACCCTACTTTATAAAACTTTTGTGAGCCCACTGAAAGATGAAGACTATCTAGAAGTGAATATAAAAGAAAAGCTTAAACTGCAAAGAGATTTGGACCGAAATAATATGTAATGTTTACATTGTAATGATTGTATTTATTTACACGTCTCGTACGAAGACTTTGTGCAGGACGCTTGCCAGATGATTAGTTGATGTTCTTTTAATATTTCCTTTAAAACTTTTATACTATTTTTTTAAATATAAATTTTAGACGTTAAATGTCGTGTTGCTGGCGTGATATTAGTTGTAGTATTTTTTGTAGAGATTTTAGCTAGCCCAAAAGTACATTGTTCAATTCATTGTGGCAAAAAAATCTAAAATGTCGCACGGTTTACAATCTGTTCGTGATGCTATAATTCTTGCTCGAGCAGGCCAGTATATTTCTGATGCCGAGTTCATTTTACTTTTCGATTACAACTGGTCAAAACCATTGTTCCCATATTGGAAATTTGATGAATTTAATATGGATACTTGGGATGATGAATAATGCAGAACTGAATTACGGTTTGCCAAGGGAGATCTGCCTGTGTTAAAAGCTGTATTAGGAGTTCCAGATAAAATCACCTGTCAACAAGGGACAACACGTTCAGGAGACGAAGCACTCTGTATTTTGTTGAAACGGTTTGCATACCCATGTAGATACTCGGATATGGTGAGCAGATTTGGTAGAAATCCTTCAGAGCTATGTTTGATTTTTAATGAAGCGTTGGATTTTTTGTATGAGCGACATCACCATCGCCTTCAAAGTTGGAATCAGCCATTTTTGTCACCAGAAATCCTTCAAATTTATGCTGATGCCATTCACAACAAGGGTGCCCCACTGGATAACTGCTTTGGGTTTGTTGATGGTACTGTTCGACAAATTGCGCGGCCAAAGTATCACCAAAAAGTTATGTATAATGGTCATAAAAGAGTCCATTCAATTAAGTTTCAAAGTGTTGTTCTACCCAATGGTCTCATTGGAAACCTTGCTGGTCCCTATGAAGGTAAACGACATGACAGTGTGATACTCCAAGAATCTGGTCTCTTAACAAACCTACGACAGATTGCCTTCTACAACAACAACCCCCTTTGCATATATGGTGATCCTGCTTATCCACTGGGTGTTCATTTGCAAGCACCATTCAGGGAAAGAGAGCTTACACCGGCAATGGCAGAGTTCAACAGGGAGATGAGCCGGGTTCGAGTCTCTGTCGAGTGGATGTTTGGAAATATTACTAAGTATTTCAGCTTTGTGGACTTTAAAAGGCAAATGAAATTGCATCTGAGTCCTGTTGGAAAAATCTACACTGTGGCAGCATTGTTGCAGAATGCTCATACCTGCTTGTATGAGAACATTGTATCTCATTTTTTTGATCTGAAGCCTCCTTCAACCATGAATATTTCTGGTAATACACATTCACTTAGTCTTAGTTGTGAATTTTAAAAAAATGCCATGAGCTACCTTGAATAAATTATTGCAGGAAATAAATTTGCATGGTAGTATAGCAGGTCAAATTGCAATGGGCTATTCCAATTATTATCCGCATCCCCCTTGTTGAGGAACCTTGGAATTTCCAGGGGAGGGGATGCATTAACCTTGGAATTTCAAGGGGAGAGGTGCATTAACTTTAAATTTCCATGGGAGGGGGTACATTAACCCTGGAATTTCCAGGGAAGGGGCATTCAGGCTCTGGAATTCCAAGGGGAGGAGTAATTCTCACATGAAATTTCCAGAGGGAGGGGTAAATTTTACATGAAAATTTGCAGAAATTCCAGGGGAGTACCGACATGAGAAAGGGGTTCCTCAACAGGGGGTGCGGATAATAATTGGAATACCCTAATGCCTAGCTTTGCCGCAAGTCTAATGCCAGATGATTTAATTGTTGATTGGCGAGTTATGCAGCTTAATGGTCAAGACTCAAGTATCAATTTGTTTAGAAAATTCTTGGTAACCTTGGCACCTTAAAATTGAATCACCAAAAACATTCTATTTTAATAAAACACATATTTAATGTTGTATTTTACACACAACTTAATCAGGTTATTCAACTGCTATAGAAACAATAATTTTATAAGAAATATATTAATTGATGAACATTGTTAACTATTCAATAATAGTATAAAGTCCAGTTTAAAGTTATAAATAGTTGTTATAATGTTTCAGCATTAACTGTAAATGTGAAAATTACTTACAATGTCTAATAACTATAATTTTTTCTCCAACAAATTTACCAACACATTTGTTTGCTGTTGCTGTTGTTGCATGATAGCAATCATTTGCTGCTGTAGAAAGTTAAATTCTTGTTGATGCTGTTGATGTTGTTGTTGTTGTTGCTGCAATTGTTGCTGCACGAACTGGTCAGACAGCTTCATCTGCATCGCAAACTGTTGTTGTGTCTGGTGCATGGCTTGCGTCATCTCTTCTTGCTGGACTCTCTGAACTTCATGGTATTCTCTTTCTTCTTCTCGTTTTGCCTTTTTTTCTTCTTTCTCCAACTCTACCCTTTCTTGCAACCATTTCATCATGTCTCCTGACATTCTCCTCTTTTGTTCTTTTCCACTACCTTCACCGTTCTGTCTTGTCCTCTTCCTAGTTTGTCCAAGTGTCTCCATTGCCCGTTCTCTCATCTCCAGTGCCTGACCTCGCTCTTGTTCAATCCTTTGTTGGTTTTCTTCATTTTCACTTTCAACCTGTCTTTCCATCTCCCCTTCAATATGGATCAATTCCTCCAACAAACTTTCAGCCTCCACTTTCACCCGTTGATCTTTCTTCTTGTGCCATTCTTGCCCTATACTATTTTGCCATCACATTGTAGTGATCTCTGACTGCCCGTGATGTGACTCCTTGCCCTAGTGCAGTGATGTTAACGGCAATTCTTTGCCACTGCATACCACGCTCTCTGGACCGGGGTTTATTTGACATAACACCTTCTGCTGCAATTTCTTTCAGTAGGATTAGATCTTTTGCCTTTAACCATACCATGCTAGAAACAGTGAATATAAATGTAAACAAACAATATCAATTTTTCTGGAATCACAAGGCTATGGATTCGATTTTTTAATACCAGAGAACCTAGTGTTGCATTTTCTGCAATCGTTCCTGGTCAGGTCTTAAATTGCGAATGTACTCACTTGGATTATAAACCCAACACACCATACTAGTTCTACACACCAAGTGAAGTCATCATTCATTCAAGTGTTTAATACTCTACCATTGTTGAAGTTAGTTTGATTTGTTTACCTTTTCTTCGGAGATTTCTTGTTCTCTTCCAGTTGTAAAACAGACATCGCTGCCCCTAAAAAGATAACAAAAAACATTGCACTATTTTATTACTACAGTACATACTTTCAATATTGTACTTTATAAATACAGCAATACAAATTACAAAACTATAAAAAGTAAATAAAATCGATTGAATATCAACTGTAAAACGATTGCCCATAAAACGATATATCAAATAATAAAATGCAAGTTTAAAAGTTAGATAAGTAATGTCGTTCTTATCGGCATCAAACTACACAATATGTTGTTTCTTGTTGTGTTTGTTTTGAGACATGATTAGCCATATTCCGTAAAGCCGGAAACAAATTTGGTGCGTCTTACTATGTTAATTATGCGCATATTAAACATCATACGTTCATATTATTTCGAAAATAGAGAAAAATAATAGATTACCAACATCACTGATGCAAGTTTTATCATGTACATACCTTTTTCGTCTTTAAAAAATCAAGAAAAAACTGACGTCCTAAACACGACGTGAAAAATTGATTTTGACGTCCTGAAAAGTGCTAAGACGACGTCGCCATCGATGACAACGCCACATTTTCGCGGCATATGACGCCATCCCGCGTCCTCTTCACGTCGACGTCCTCGATCTAAATCTGTCTAATGAACTTGCATACCTATATATATCATTAGTTTTTTCAATGAGAATTTTTATTTGTAAAGCAGTGACACTTTGTTTTTCATGTCACTCATCACCTAAAGGGGCAATATCTCCATAAATTTATATAAAAACCAAAAAAAAAATCATTTACTAAATTAGTACATATCTATATTATAACCAATTTTCATCTTTTGCGATATGAATTAGAAAACGATCAAAAATTATAAAAAATACTCATTTGCTTTTTTTGGGCAAGATATTTACAACATGAAATTTAGAACAGTAACTAAGTGTTCAAATTCAACAAAATGTGCAAGCCAAAACACAGTGCTTGTTCATCTTTGGAGTTTTTAATTACCTCAAATATATTTAAAAGGACATATGGTACTAGAATTTATTTATTTTCAATATAAACCAAGGATGGGAAGGTGAGAAAATAGGAATTTTCTGAGGTGTTTTTAACACAGACAATGACAGCCGACATTTTCAAAGGCAAATTGCGGTGACAAAACCAAAAGTTATTCACTTCTCTACTCAAAGCAATGAAAAACACCATAAAGAGAAAAACATTTTAAACATACATCAGGTAAGTCTTTTAGCTCAATTTTCTCATGTTTCTGTTTGGAAAGAAACGGTTTTTAGCCAAAATTATTTTGCGTGTCAATGTAGGCTGCTATAAAATGTCAGACACACGTTTTCTTTTGAAGTCTGGCTCTAAAAAACAATCGCTTTTTTTAGTTTGAAATAAGCTTTCTAAGGACTAATTGTGTAGAAATGTTATCTGTATGCTCAAATGAAAAAGATAAGCTAATATTCAGGTACTCCACATAGCTATAAAAGGGTGAAATAAGGACTTTCATCTTTGGTTGTTTGGCAGACATGAGAAACCACATTAGTGCCATTTTGTCGCGCATGCTATCTTATAAAATAAACACCTCAAAACCATATACTTTTAGTTCAGAAAATAACAAAGTTTCCCATAGACATTATTAAAAATGTTCTAGTGAAGCGATTTCATGATAAATAAGTGAGCTATGGGCCCAAAAGAACTGCTAAACTATGTTTTTGTTAGGACTTCAATTTCATGGCTTCCCGCAAAGGAAGCCATTTCAGAGAGAAGCGACAACAACGGCAAACAACCGTCGCGACCAAATTTTGATAACTTTTCCTTCTGATTCAACATGTAGTTACTAGAAAATGAGGT